TCTAATTGCTTGATATTATTCCACAGGTCATTGAAGTTCCAATCATATTTTTCCAGTCTTTTTTTTTTCTTCTGTGCTTCTGTAATTTCTGTTGACCTCTCTTCAAGTTCATGAAAACTTTTTTTCTGCTGTGTCCAATCTGTTTTTCTTATTCAATCATTTTTTAAAAATTTCAAATATTGTGGTGTGCCTGGGTGGCTCAGTTGGTTGGATGTTCAACTTGCGACTTTGGCTTAGGTCATGATCTCGGTGTCCTAGGATTGAGCCCCGCATCAGGCTCCATGCTCTGCAGGGAGTCTGCTGGAGGATTCTTTCTGTTTTCTCTTTCTCCTTCCCCAGCCATGCTCTCTGAAATAAATAAATCTTAAAAAAAAATAAAATTTCAAATATTATATTGTTGTTTCAGCACTAAGATTTCCATTGGGCTCATTTTTAGTTTCACTATCTCTTCTAAGATTCAAATTTTCCGTGTCTTCACCCATTATATCCATCTTCTCCTGGAAATTTCTTAACATATTTATAATTAATCCTTGTTTGGTAATTCCGACATCTGGGCAATCTTTGGGTCTGCCTCTGTTAACTACTTTTTTTTTTCCTTTTGACAAGTGTCATGTTTTGCTACTTCACATATCTAGTATTATTTGTATACAAGTAGTAGTTATAAGGAATTCTAGATTCTATATCTTCCTTTGAGGAGTGTTGAATTTTGTATGGCATTCACTTAAAGTACTGACTGGCAGGTCACCTTGATACTGGGGAGGCTTACTTTTAGGCTTTGTTAGGGTAGGCCTACTGCAGTTTTGCCCTTTGTCCTGGGAAATGGTCTTTACTGCTAAGGTGTGGCCCTCTGGGATTTCCATGGAAAGCCTGAGGTATTTTATAAGCCCTTCTAACTTGGTAGACCTTGAACTTTTAATCTGTCTCCCTTTACTGGGAAATTGTCGAAATCTTTGGTTAGTGCTTTTGGCCTTCACTTTTTGGCTCCTTGGAGTCACTCCACATATAGGCACGTTAGGACTCAAACAAGGATCTGAGGGGAGTCTGTATGCCGGTTTTGTGGCTCCTTTTCCATGTTTTCCCTCTTCAATTTCCAGACACTGTGGCAGCTGTAATACTCTGACTTCTAACGCATCAGCCTGATAAGACTCTTGCTTTCTGCTTGAACTCTACTCCCTATCTGCAGCATGGACTTGAAAATGCCCTAAGAGGGGGCGCCAGGGTGGCTCAGTGGGTTAAAGCCTCTGCCTTCCGCTCAGGTCATGATCCCAGGGTCCTGGGATGGAGCCCCACATCGGGCTCTCTGCTCAGCAGGGAGCCTGCTTCCTTCTCTCTCTCTGTCTGCTTCTCTGCCTACTTGTGATCTCTGTCTGTAAAATGAATAAATAAAATCTAAAAAAAAAAAAAAAAGAAAATGCCCTAAGAGGAAAAGGCAGTTTTCTTTTCATTTTAATTTTTATAATTTATTATTTTTTAAAATTCCAGTAGAGTTAACATACAGTGTTATTTAGGTATAAGAGGAAAAGTCAGATAAATGTGTCTTCACCTAGTTTGCCTCTCATTTTTTTTAATTAATTTTTTTTTAGAGAGGGAAGGAGGGTGGGGGCAGAGAGAGAAGGAGATTGAGAAGCAGACTCCATGCCCAGCTTGGAGCCTGACCTGGGGGTTTGATCTCAAGATCCTGAGATCATTACCTGAGCCAAAACCAAGAAATCAAGAGTTGGAGGTTTAACCGCCTGAACCACCGTGCCCCAGCTTCTCTTCTTTTAAGGGTTGTAGCTACTCTGGTTGCCTATTTAAGTTGCTCTCTCGTGTCTTCAAAGATTTTTTTGTTTAAGTATTTTTTCAGAGTTTACACTAGCTATCAGCAGGAATTTTAGTCTGATACAAGCTCTTGTGCCATCACTGCAAGCAGAACTCACCCAAATATGTTATTATTATTTTTTTAAATTTTGTTTTAGTGCCCTGCTTTTCTGAATCATTAGACGTATACTTAGTCTTCATATTGGGTAAACCCATACTGGATTTTGGTTGTCTGTTCTGAGAATTTACTTGATTTCATTTGAATTTCACTAAGTAATCCAGTAAATTAATAATTCCTAATGGCTTTTAAAGTTTCAGAGGTTGAAAATAGATGTCTAATAGTGACAACATCTTGATGTTGTCTGAAATAGACATTCCCTATTTTCTGAAATAGGGAATACATCCACATGGTTCAACATTTAAGATAAAAACGAAACATAAGAGGTGCCTGGGTGGCTCAGTGGGTTGAGTCTCTGCCTTCAGCTCAGGTCATGATCCTAGGGTCCTGGAATCTAGCCCCGCATCTCATCTCGGGCTCTCTGCTCAGCAGGGGGCCTGCTTCCCCCTACCCTTCTGCCTGCCTCTCTGCCTACTTGTGATCTCTGTCAAATAAATAAATAAAATCTTAAAAAAAGAAGGACACACAATAAAAAGCTTCACTCCCACCCCTGTTGCATGTGTTTTAGAAAAACTGGCAGCTCCATTTTATTAACTAATCCCTGTCATAATCCCAGGAATTCCTTGACAAAGAGGTTTTGTGTTTTTTTTTTAAACCAAACTTAAAAAAAAAAGATTTTATTTATTTATTTGAGAAAGAGAGAATGAGAGAATGAGAGAGAGAGAGAGAGAGAGAGAGACCATGAGAAGGGGGGAGGATCAGAAGGAGAAGCAGACTCCCTGCTGAGCGGGGAGCCCAATGTCGGACTTGATCCCAAGACCCTGGGATCATGACCTGAGCTGAAGGCAAACACATAACTGACTGAGCCACCCAGGTGCCCTGTTTTTTTTTTTTTTTTATAGATTTTTAAATTTATTCATTTGACAGAGATACAGAGACAGCACAAGCAGGGGGAGAGGCAGAGGGAGAGGGAGAAGCAGACTCCCTGCAGAGCAGGGAGCCCGATGTGGGGCCCGATCCCACATCGAGCTGAGCTGAAGGCAGATGCTTAACCATCTGAGCCACCCATGTGCCCCTTATGTTTTGTTTTTAATAAATGACATTCTCCAGGAGGAATCATTACAGAGGAAGGCATCAATTCCATTTAATTCTGCAAACATTTAGTGTGTCGGGAACAATGTTAGCTATTGTGGAGTAGAAACATGAGTCATACAGTTGAGAGTGCACTTCTCTTAATTAAAAAGGAGAAGAGAGTAGAATGAAGGACTATTTGTAAGGAAATCTGATGCCTTCTACTTGACCCAGTTGGAAGAGTTGTGATAGAAAAAGGTCCCATTCCTGCCCAGCTGACGCCTGGAGTTAAGGTTATATTCTTGGCTCTGTCTCTCTAAAAGGGTTTCTCTCTAGCCCAGCTGCTGCCCTGTTTACAGTCAAGCTCAGCACAAGGTCCAAGAACTTTGCTGGAAGCTTGGTGTCTAGTTCATAGGGAGAGGTTAGAACTAAGTCAAGCCTCTGTAATATCAGAATGCTTAACTAGCTACAGTTTACAACAGAGGGGTTGCTCAAAGGGCTGAGTGTTCTCCAGCCAAGTCTGAAAAAGCTGAACCCCTTCCTAGCAGCTGAAAAAACATGGAGTGTCCACAACAAATGTACTGAAGGCACTGGAAGCCGAACAAAGCCACAGAGGCAGCAGCAAGCAGATTCTGCACACTCCTTGTGTGGCCACACCTTCAGGTTCCTACAAGAGCTCCAAGGCAGGGTAATGGGTACACAGTGGGAGGGACTGAATGGCAAATCAGGGATGTTTGCTAGGAATTTGGGAGTACTGCTGAGGGAGGCTAGAAATTATGAGTGTCAGTGGTCAGGTTTATCTCTGGGTACCTTTGTTCCTCTGCAGGAATTTCAGATCGAGCACAGTCCACCTGTGAGCTGCTCCTGGCTAGATAAAACCTGTGTTTCTTCCATGCTGCCTTTTCCATTGGAACTCAAGATGGGGCTTAGGACCTCTGGCTACCATTCTGTTTTGCTGCAGGTGGCAAGCCTCCTGGAGGGCTTTTGAAGCCTTTATCTGATTCTCCATTCATATGCTCAGAACAAAATTAACTTATAAACACCATTCTCTCCTGTGATGATTTATAGAAGTCTCTAGAGAGCAAGGGCTGGTGAATGATAATTAACTCCACCGTGTCCACAGTTATTTTTTTGAGATGCATAAGCAGGTCATTGTAAATTTAGAATGCTGTCCTTATGGCTTAAATGTGGTGATTGTTAAAAACAAACAAAAAAAAAAAGAGAGAATTTTCTTTCCAACCTCCTGTTCCTTAAATCTTATTCATGAGGCTTAATTTCCTGGGGGGGGGGTAAGTTTTCAGTTATTGAATTCTTATAGCGGGAGGGACTAGAGCAGCACCAATAAAAATATAATGCAAGTCACAAATGTTTAAATTTTCTAAGTAGCCCCTTTAAAAATGTAAAAAGAAACAGTTGATATTAATTTTAATATTTTAGTTAATCCAGTATTTCTAAAATGTCATTTCAACACATAATCAATATAAGAATTATTGATGAGATAACTCTTTTTTTTTTTTTTGTACTAAGTGTTTGAGACCTGCTGTATATTTTACACTTCCAGCACATCTCAATTCGGGCTAGGCATATTTCAAATGCTCAGTAGCTACATGTGGCTAGTGATGACGACGGTACTGGGCAGCGCAGGACTAGCGCACAGGCCTCGGTGATGCCCTCCAGGTCCCCCTACGCATGCAATGAACCCCCTAGGCCGAGTTCTAGGAGAGCATCAAGTGATGTTACAGGCGGGAGGGTGTTTCGAATTGGGTCAGATGCCAGAATCCCACTTGGGATTTGCCGGTGAAGATAACTGGAAAGCAAAGGGGTGGGTGGCGTGGCCGGGAAGGTCTGGGACCTGGAAAGAAGGAATTCGGAGGGCGCAGTTATGCAGGAGGTGTGAGAACTTGGTGGGTAGAGGACAGAATCCTGCTAAGTGGACAGGTGGGACTTCACTGGCGCGACCCTTTGACAGTTGTTCCTTTTCTGTCTTCTCTCCGTGCTCCTCACCTCCCAGCGGTGGTCCTCAGCCTGGCCAGCGTCTGGGCGGAGGAGGCCTGCACGCGCACCTGCCCCACCGCCTGCGCCTGCAGCAGCACCGAGCGCGGCTGCTCCGTGCGCTGTGACCGCGCCGGCCTCCTGCGGGTGCCGGCCGAGTTCCCGTGCGAGGCGGCTTCCATCGACCTGGACCGGAACGGCCTGCGCTTCCTGGGCGAGCGGGCCTTCGGCACGCTGCCGTCGCTGCGCCGCCTGTCGCTGCGCCACAACAACCTGTCCTTCATCACGCCCGGCGCCTTCAAGGGCCTGCCGCGGTTGGCCGAGCTGCGCCTGGCGCACAACGGGGAGCTGCGCTACCTGCACGCGCGTACCTTCGTCGCCCTCGGCCGCCTCCGCCGGCTCGACCTGGCCTCCTGCCGCCTCTTCACGGTGCCCGAGCGCCTCCTGGCCGAGCTGCCCGCCCTGCGCGAGCTCGCCGCCTTCGACAACCTCTTCCGCCGCGTGCCCGGCGCGCTGCGCGGCCTGGCCAACCTGACGCATGCGCACCTGGAGCGCAGCCGCATCGAGGCGGTGGCCTCCAGCTCACTGCAGGGCATGAGGCGCCTGCGCTCGCTCAGCCTGCAGGCCAACCGCGTCCGTGCGGTGCATGCGGGCGCCTTTCGCGACTGCGGCGCCCTGGAGCACCTGCTGCTCAACGACAACCGGCTGGGGGAGTTGCCCGCGGAAGCCTTCGTAGGCCTGCGCCGCCTGCGCACGCTCAACCTGGGTGGCAACGCGCTGGGCCTCGTGGCGCGCGCCTGGTTCGCGGACCTGGCGGAGCTTGAGCTGCTCTACCTGGACCGCAACAGCATCGCCTTTGTGGAGGAGGGCGCCTTCCAGAACCTCTCGGGCCTCCTCGCTCTGCACCTCAATGGCAATCACCTCACTGTGCTGGCCTGGGCCGCCTTCCAGCCTGGCTTCTTCCTGGGCCGCCTCTTTCTCTTCCGCAATCCGTGGCGCTGTGACTGCCACCTGGAGTGGCTGCGGGACTGGATGGAGAGCTCTGGGCGCGTGTCCGACGTGCCGTGCGCCGCCCCGGGCTCTGTGGCTGGCCTGGACCTCAGCCAGGTGGCCTTTGGGCGCTCTTCCGATGGCCTCTGTGTGGATCCCGAAGAGCTGAACCTCACCGCATCCAGTTCAGGCCCGTCCCCAGAGCCAGAGGCCACCACCGTGAGTAGGTTCAGCAGCCTCCTTTCCAAGCTGCTGGCCCCGAGGGCCCCAGTGGAGGAGGTGGCCAACACCACCGAGGGGCCGCTCAACATCTCCCTGTCCGACAGCCTTCCCTCCGCCGGGGTGGTCGTCTGGGTCCACAACGCCCGGTTTCTCCTCGGCTCCGGTCTCCTGCTCAGTGTGGCCCAGCACGCGGTGTTTGTCCTACACGTGGACTGACCTTGCCCCAGTGGGGTAGCCCAGATTGACTTGGCCAGTGGGGGGAAGTGTAGTTAACTGGCCTTGAGATTGTTTGTGGTGGCGGGGAGAGGGGAACAGGGTGGGGGCAGGTGGTGAAAATTCCAGCCCAGGACGGAAGGGACAGTTAACTTTCAGAGATGGCTCTAGGAAGAGGAGAACCCCCGGCAATGCCACTCCAGGGATGGGGTGGAGGTGGAGAGAGGAATGGATTTCTGTTCATGTCATGGGCATCCGTTGGAGAAGAGAATCAAGAGTGAACGTGGACCCTCCAGTGAGAAGATTAGGAATTGGAAGCTCCTAGGGCTACAGGGCTCTACCCCATCACTTGCCCCCATCTTCCAGGAAACAGAGACTCCAGTGCCGGAAATAGCGTCAATCCAGTGGCTAAGTACCAAGAACTGTGCCAGTTTTGCTGGTGGGACCGCCCATTAAGCCCAGTCCCTTTGTTTTCTACCACAGTTGCCCTCCCCCTCACCAAGGGGCACAGGACACTAGAGTCCAGGAAGATGGACAGAACAGGAGAGAAGGGGGATGTGAGAGGAACTTAGACCCAAGGGGTTGGCGTTGGTTCCTGGGGTCTAGAATGTCTCAGGAGGCATTGAAAACAAAGATCCATTTCACTTACTTCACAGTTATTCCCAGGGGTGGCCTTAGCCACAAAACAACTTCAGGGTAGGGGAGGGGGAGAAAAGGCGGGGGAATGGGGTTTTCCGTATACAACTAAGTGTGTAAAATACTAAGATTAAAAAAAAAAGTCAAACAAGTTTCTTTATTGCAAGATTTTTTAGTCTTTCATATGCAAACATGCATTGTAAATCTCCAGAGAGGCCACAAAATCCTCTTTCTTAGGTTGTGTAGAAGACAGAGATGCTGTTAGCGGGGTAGGGACTCTCCAGCTTGGATGATCCCATTAGGTGTGGAAATTATTATGGGTGGCACACTTTGGGGCTGACTAATGGCCAGGAGACACGGAGGCAGCCAGTAGCTGGGAAGGGGGCCACAGAGATTTCCCAGGGTAGGAGCTGGCCAACTGTAAGCCCCTAGGCCTGAGTGTCAGAGCAAATTCTGTATGGCTGCTAAATACTTGCTCATGCACTTGTCCACACACGAGTAACGATGACTGCATTTGTCAACATGCACGAAATCCCTAGGTTTTATTTTTTTTTTGTTTTTTTTTTTGTTTTGTTTTTTTGTTCTTTGTTGTTGTTGTGTGAGTAAAGTGATAGGGGTTTTTTAAGTGAGGATACAGAAAAAGCTCTCAGGAGGGAGAGCAGTCCCATCAGGGTTGCCCTCGAAATCTCCAGTTTTAATGTCCTGAATTCCTCTATGTTTGAAGAGCTGGTTTTTCAAAGTCTACATAATTCCACATAATGCGCCAAGCTGTCAGGTCTTCCTGATGACAGTACTTCTTTGTTTCTAGGTCATACTAAGTATCAGAAATGTTGCAGAAAGCTCCTCTGAGGGTCGGAGTGTTCAAATGGGTTGTGATCTTTTGTGGTCAGTTACCTCACCTCAACCGGTCACAACCAGCATTTAAGAAAGATAGAACAGAAAAGTCACAGAGTCTTACATGTAACAGGTATTGTTTTGTGAAACTGTATTGAATTTGTATGCGTTTGTTCAGATGATATGTGTATGTGTGTATGTTGTGTCTGGATCACTGCATACAATTTATATTTTATTGTGGGCTATTGTTGAGAAAGTTTGAAAGTCACTAATCTGGAGGCTACATGATTTTCTCAAACTCTTTATTTTGAAATGTGTCGAACCTACAGGAAAGTTGCAAGGATAGTAGAGTGAACACTTTGGCCATTCACCTTGGTTTCCAGATTGTTCACATTTTACTGTACTTGCCGTATATAATCTGAGTTAGTTGTAAACATCACAGCCCTTCACCCCTAAAAAAACCACAGCATGTATTTCCTATTAGGAACATTATCATTGATAGAATACTATTACTTAAAATATACTGTCTTGAAATTTCAGCGGTTGTCAAAATGATTTTTGAAGCAGTCATTCTTTTGCCTCTGAGTGGAAAAAAGGTTCCTGTGTTCGTTTAATCACAGTACTCAAAATTCCAAATCCGCCAGTTGACTTTAATATTTTAAAATGAATTCGTTCTCCAAATGTCTTTTAAAATGTGAGAACCAGATGAGGTCAGAAATGTTGTTTGTTCAAACTGTGTGTTGTGTCCATGGTAACTGGGTAAGGATCACGAGAATCCTGGAGACCAGATCTGTGCATTTGGATAGCCATGGAAGCCCACGGCAGACATGTAGCCCGTGTTACTGAGGAACGAGATGCCGCCTCAGGAGGAATGTCCTGCCTTTCATTTGGAGCCGGTCCCCGAGAGTCAGCCTCAATTCTGCTGCTCCAATTCTGCCTGGTGGTTAGATGGCCAGCTTTTTAATGAACGTTTGTTTGACTGAATGTTTTTGAACAAGTATCAACACTGAAATAGCCTCCAGGGAGACAGATTTTTATAGAACTACCCAGCCCAGTAGAATTCTGGGAACGTGGGAGTTACTTAACTGCCAAACAGATCCAGAGTCGCCTGGAACAGGTTTCCAGTGAATTGTGGCCATTATGAGCTTTCGTGAGAGAACAGGGAGTGGAGTTCCCAGTTCTGAGTTCATTAAGTTTCCCACCCCTTCATTGGCTAATCATACCTTGAGAAATCCTAAGGTGCTACGGATTCTGCTCAGGAAAACAACGGGAACCTGTCTGGGTGGGCCATTTTATGCTGTGGTAACAAACGATCCACCTTAAGTTCCCCACAGCCAGGAAGTGTGGTCCTTCTCTGTGCCCAGGAAGAGACGAGGACTGGGAATGTGGAGGAACACGAGCAACGCTTCAGAGCTGCTCCAGGCGGTTCACCTGATACACAATCAAGCCTGGACTTCTCCGAACTGTCAGAAGAAATAGAGACTCGAGGGAGAGATCTGGCAGGCAAGCCAGTAGCCTCCGCCTCTCCCTCCTCCAGGCACACCAGCTAGGCTTTGAATACGATAGTTGCTCTAGCCAGTAGGAAGCCTGTGGCCTCATTGGTTCTTTGAAGAACGGGGAGAGAAAATGTAGGCAAAAGAGTCATACTTTCCCCTTTAAATAATGTTTTCCACACAAACACTCAACTTACAGTATTCAAATATTTGGAAGCTTGAACTTTGGAAAATTCCCTCTCACCAAGCTCCCTGGCTATTTCTAAGCCGTCTCCCTGTCGAGGTTTCAGGATGATCAAAGCCCCCATCTACCCACCTGTCAGGCCACCCAAATGCTGCCCTCTAGAAGACACTTGTCGGCTGGGCACAGCTGTCCTTGGCCATTGGCTCCCTCTGCCAGCTTCACCCTGACCCGGAGGAAGGGGACCCTATTCTCCACTTCAGTACTCTGGCCAAAGGACAGCTTAGGTTCTCCTCCAGATCTCTCACAGCACAAAAGTGAAGGAGGTTTTTCCAGAGGGCTGGGTGTAATGGAAGTAAGTAGCCCCTCTGACCAGTCTTGGATATGGTGTAATCTGCAGACATCAGACCCCTCTGGGGCCCATGTGACTGGGTTGGCTTAATCGCCCCCCCTTCCCAGGGAGGACCCTTTTTTCCTTGTCCCTCAGTGTAAGGCCCACCTCCCCACTCTACAGGTAGTGGCCAGCCTTGCCCTGTGCAGCATTCGCCATAAGATACCACACACAGTTCTGCAATGGGGTCCAACAGAGCTGTAGGGACTAGTCAAGTTCAGACCTTCAGCCCAACCCCCCACCTGCCACCAGTCCTTTTTCTTCACCCTAGTGCCATGTGGCTTGAAACTGTGGCTCAGAGCTCCAAAGGAACAAACAACAGTTCTGGGGACGCCATTAACCTAAAGTTGCACAGAGCAAAGTAACATTTCTCTCCAAAAAGTCCCTACATCTGGGAGACTGGGAGACACAGCTCTGATAAAAGATACAAAAGTCCCCTCCTTTTTAAGTGTTATATAAACACACACACACACACACACACACACACACACACACACACCAGTGTTTTGTTTTTTTGTTTATCCTGAAAGATAGTCTCTTTTTCTGGTCTGGGATACGACTCTTACTTCACTCTCTGAGATTCTGTTCAGGTTTGGCCGCCAAGAGTGAGGGGGTGGACCCTGCCTTCTGTTTGCGCTGGGCCTGATGGCTTCACAGAGCAGAGGGGCAGTCTGTCCCGGAGGCCCGCCCAAGCCTCCATTCCAGTCCCCAGAAACTGCTTGTGGCATGAAATTTTTCTAGGTCCCAGAAGTCTGAAAGCTCCATCTCTGCCAGTGTGGTCAGGAAAGGCTGAGGGGGGTAGGAGTATACGAGGGGTTTGGTGGTATTTTTATTGATCAGAGAAGGAGTCATGAGCAGCCTCTGGTCTCAAAGAACACTTTGGCATCGGTCTCCCTGTGGCCTGAGGTGCAAGGTTGCAGTGAAACATGGACCCCTCCAACCGTGTGTCTGGCCAACTTCAGCTGCTGCATGAACGTTACTTACATTCCTTCTGTTCGTGTCCCAAGCATAGAAAATTTAGGAGCACTTAGATAAACATTTGCCATTTTCAAGAGAGTTCCATTGACATGTTGCTGACCGTTACATCTGTGATCCTGACAAGAGAAAAGGAGAGTTTTTGTTCAGCCAGACTGGGATACCAACCTGCTGGGAGACCTATGTAGGGCTTATCTCTCTGGTTCCCAGCAGCCCAGCAGGAGTTCTTTTTGAGCATATATGACCTCCCGGCTGAGGCCCACTCGTGGCTAACTCAGGATCGATTCAGCAGGTCATGGGATTGGTAGTAGCAACCAGCATTAAATAATAGTGACAATATAGGGCGCCTGGGTGGCTCAGTGGGTTAAAGCCTCTGCCTTCAGCTCAGGTCATGGTCCCAGGGTCCTGGAATCGAGGCCCGCATCGGGCTCTCTGCTAAGCGGGGAGCCTGCTTCCTCCTCTCTCTCTGACTGCCTCTCTGCCTACTTGTGATCTCTCTGTCAAATAAATAAATAAAATCTTTAAAAAAA